GATGAAATGTCTCAGCAATAAAAGGAACCATCCAGATGACCTGATTGAACATTGTTGTATCTCATGAACCACTTGGCTGATTTTAAATACACTGTGAGGTCAAATTTGATGTACATCTACAACTAATTAACCTTTAGAGCCAATCCAAGACAAGATGGCTGCCACAGCCAGATGAAATTAGAAAACACAAAAATGGCTATAATTCAGTCAGTTTTACAAATAATACTCTAAAGTTCTGTGTTGATGCAAATGAGCATAATTTAGATTTTTTACTCCAAGGGCTTCTCATTGCACAACATTATTGCTTATAACCTTGAAGTTAACTGTTAGAGTCAGCCCAGTTTTTCTGTTAACAAAATACCTCATAGCTCATTGGACAGATTTGAACAAAATTCTGAAAAAGTAACCAGTTAAAGCTAATTAACCTTTTGAGATAATCCAGTTTAAAATGGAAACACCAGTTAATCATTAGCACCAGTGAGTGATTTGTAAACATGAAACTCTTTTACCTTAAATCTTTCACCTGAAAGGCTTTGCAAGAATGAAAGTTATTTAATTATCGTCTAATAATTATGTGTAACATCAAAAATCGACAGTAACTTTTTTTCCATTTTGAACCTAATTTGGCAACAATTTCATCATCACTCTTATTTGATTCATGTTGCAGCTTAAACCATATTTCCTTTAGGCTGTTTTGCACCAAAACGTGGTTGTCTGAAGCTTTTTCAGCTTCTCTCTCCTTTGACCCCCCCCAGTTCTGACGTCCTGAGCAGTTTGGCTGTAAACACCCAGACACTTGCAGCATCTGCTCCTAAATCTGCTGCACGTCAGCATTTCATCAAGCTCCACCTAGCTCCGAACAGAGCTGCAGAACGAAGTGTCATTGGGTTTGAGAGAATACAAAACTCAAAATCCACCAACCCCCGCACTCAGCTCCCCTCGACAGCTGAGATTTGTTCTGCCCCCAAAGCAGCTGTCTGCCGAAGCAACAGCTGGGTATTTTGGAGGGAACACGGGACGAGGACAGAGCAGGTCACAGGAATCCATTCCTGCTTCCAGAGAAATTAACAGCCTTGTCAAGATGAGTTAAACAACTCTGCTGTACACTGTGACATACAGTCAGTACACCACACATATATATATATATATATATATATATATTTTTTTTTGTGAGTATTTGTACCTAAATAAGTGGCAGTGTGAAGCCATAAACAGATTTATGAACAAAGGAGCTTGTTCAAAGAAACCCCATGAAGTCAGTGTTGCTAAAACTAATAAAGCAGGAATTAATTTAAAGCATTTTTATCCTACGTGAAAAAAAAAAAAAATCTTTGTGATTTACTTCCAAAGATGTAATGACTTCATCGTGGTCATTAGTCACAGAAGCATCCACAGAGATGTTTCATGGAGCCAACTCAAACACAAAAGTCTGGTTTAGTGTAAGTGCAATTAAACTGGAGTTACATGATGGGAGAACAGAGCAGAAAGATTGTGGTGTAAATGCATTCATGTGTGTGTGTGTGTGTGCGCGCCAAGTGCAGAGAGGTCACGACGGCCTCAGGGTCACATCACTCTGCAGGCACACCCACAGCCCAGGCATTTGTCAGTTTACCCAGGGTCAGGTGCCCTGAGTGTGTTCTGGCTGCGGTGCAGCAGCCTGGCCAGTCGCTCAACTAAAGTCGGAGCAACTGTCGATCTGTTGGCGGCTCCGACCCTCAGCTGCCCGTGCTCTCAGCGTAGCATGTTAGGGGGGGACAGCAGGGGGCATCCTGCCAGCCTCCCCCCCCCCCCCCCTCTGTTTGTCAGGCCTTGGCGAGCTCCACCAACAGTGGCCTGGCACCACCAGGCACAGATTCAGTCCCCGAAGAGGAAAACACAGAGCGTGTGTGGAAGGACAGAGAAGAGATGGCTGCTGGTTGTTTACAGTCAATTAAATCAAACTTGTTTTATGTAATGCAACATTTCAGGTTATGTGCTGTAGCTGCAAATGTAACTTGTTTTTATGTTATGCAATATCATAATATGATAGAATAAAATACTTTGTTTCCTTGAGGACGTATATTTTAGACAGTTTCTATAGTTGTCTTTACAACAGCAACAAAAACAAACCAAAAGGACTCTTTTATTTTTTTAAATTCTTTTTTGCTGTTGCATGTTTAATTTTCTTCTGGTTTTATGGTAAATTATTTCATTTCAAGCACATTGCATTGTTGGTTTTAAAGATGCTTTATTAACAACAGTTTACAATACAGAAACAAAGTTTAACCTCATTTAGCCATTTTTAAAATTTTAAGCACCACCTACTTTAAATTCAGTCATCTTTATTATAGAGAATCTCAAGTTTATTACACATTATTTGTTCCAATAAAAACAAAAAAAACAATAAAAAAAAACTTCAGTTTAGTAAATCTCAGCAAAAGGTGCAGGATTATGTCCCAACAATTGCCAGGGATTTTGTTGGTAGTTTTAAAACACATTAAAGTTTATTCTTGTTCACACATCTCCAAGATTGTGGCAACAGTTTAGATATCCAAAATGATGCCACAGTCTTCTAGATTCATTTAAAGCAAGTTATGGGATCTTACAAAAATAAATAAATTAATTAATGAAATAAAAATCCATAAGAATAGACTGCAGTTGTTATCATACAAAAACAATCTGATGTTTTTTTTATATCATTTTTTAAACAATAATGATTCAAATAAACTGTAAGATTCCTCCAAATAATCCAGACTTCAAAAGGTAAAAAACAAAAACAAAAAAGAATGGTGAAATGTTAATCAGAATCAGCTTTATTGTCATTGCTCCGAAGCGCAGCAAAATTACATTTCAGTACAGCCCGTCCGAGAGAAACGTAACAAACAGACATGGAGAGACGGAGGTGACTGAGGCCGCCGGCCTCGAGAGGCACAGTCCATTTTTTTCCAGATAAGGAAAAAGAAACACAAGGGGGAGCGTAGGTGTAAAAAAAAAAAAAAAATCTTGCACTGTGTCCTAGATAGGACAACCAAAAAAATGACCTCAGCACAGAAACAGCAACATACTGATGACATCATAATACATTTATGTCGACGAGGGCAGTGAGTTGTCCGACGACACTGCCAGAAAGTTCCATAGTCCTGATAAAGATGGCACAGTGTCTATCAGCCGTCTCAACGTTAACACAGATCCACAGATGTCCTCGGGAGAGGAGCGATGGGGTGGGGGGGGGGGGGGGGGGGCTTCTTGTTCATATAAACAACCAGGAGGAGTTTGAGATAGCTGGCCGATTCGAGGCCGAGAGGGGGAGCCAAATTCAGATAACAATTATTTTGAATCAGGCAGCTTCTGCTTGAATTTCCATGTCTGCCTTCA